TTTGCGAGGGTATGCCCCGCGTAGGAGGGAGTACGCCCTACGTACTCGGTTAACAACCCCATAATCTGGTCAATGCGAGGCTTCACATACGTAAGTGTACTTCTGGGTTATGGAATCGGTCACTTGGTGGATATAGGTTTCATGTAGAGTGCTGAGAATTCAGAGTCAGACCTCATCAGTTCTGTCCAGTTGCGAGGTGAGTTTTCCTCACTATATTTTCGAGTTGAAGGCACCAAGGTCGACCCATTGGTTTGATAACCTAATATCCATTGATATGTTGAGTATGGAATTGAAATGCATGATAGTTTGATAAGCTAGCCTGGTAGATCAGTAGGACTACCTGTGACACTGTCTGTATGATTATCTGATTATATGTTTATTTGTTATATGTCGACATATTGTGTGGGTTGTTGAGCTTGTATTGCTCTGTGCGGCAGCCAACAAACCCTGGAGCAATCCAAATATGAGTTGAGGGTCGGGTAGGGCATGCCAAACTCATACTGAGCGCTCATGAGCATTCTAGATACGAGCTGATGGTCGGGTGGGGCATGCCAGACTCGTATTGAGGGCTTGGTGGTATTTAGTCCGAGGACTGATTTGGTCGGGGAGCAAGCCAGACATAAGTTGTGGGCCCCGAGGGCAAGCCAGAGTTATGTTGTGGGCTCAGGGGTAATCCAGTCTTTAAGTTGTGGACCCATTGCATTTTTTGTTGTATATGTATTATTAGTTGTGTGTGGGTATTTTGAGGGAACTCACTAAGCTTTGGGCTTACAGTTTTGGGTTATGTTTCAGGCACCTCAGATGATCGCGGGAAGGCAAAGGCGTGATCGTGCAGCTCCTCGTATTTTGTTTTATGATTTTGGGAAAACTCTGATGATAAATATGTTTTGAAAACTATTTTGTAAACAATAATGTTTTGTGGATTTGTTTGAAAAGTTTAAATTTTTCATGAATTTTATGGATGTTACAGGTTGGTATTAGAGCCTTGGTTTGAGCAAATTGGAGGAACACTTGTGGGAATCCAGTCTCAAACTATGGAAAAGATTTTAAAAACGATTTTCAAAATGTTTTCAAAATAATCAAGGAGCATGCGATGTGTACGTTCAACCGGAGCCAGTGAGTAGACCCCAAAATACCACACTGTTATTTGATATTGTAATATGTTAGAACAACATGTTAGTGATAGGCTAGGGATCTTCAGGAATTTTCATGATAGAATTGTCTGATTATATGATGCATGATGGCCTAGGGTTCTTATTATATGGAATTGACATCATTACTGTAGTTGCTTAGTGTATGCATCATGGTCATACATAACTAAAATTCTATAGCCTAAGAATTTTTGGTTTGACCTTATTTCATGTTCTTGTTTGATGAAGGGCTTAGGGTAGGATCAAATATTCGACTGTCTATAGGGTCCAGTGGTATGTATTATTATCATACACGAGTGCTGCAGGGTTGGTGGAAGTTTCATGGAAGAGTTGTGTGGGGTTAGCCGGCCAGTTTCGAGATGATTAGCCTTTCCTATAGGGATTGAGGATTGAGTGTATGATTATGCTAATGTGTATTGTTAGGGTTGTTGTGATGATCCTATGAAACAAATACGGGTAAGTGTGGATGGTAGTATGGGCCTGTAATACTGAAAGCACAGGACCTGTACGTTTAACAGGGAAGTCACAACCCCTAGGGCTTTGTTGGGAGTTGGTTCCCCTGATATGATATGCGTGTTATCTGATACCCTCTGGGTTTTTTCAGTATGGTGACGACGAGGCGATTTGAGATTGGGTCCGGATCGGGATCAGGAGTAGGCAGTCAGGGTGGGTCATATGCGTTGGATGATCGCGGGAAGGAAAAGGCGTGATCTTGCACCTCCTCGTATTTTGTTTTATGATTTTGGGAAAACTCTGATGATAAATATGTTTTGAAAACTATTTTGTAAACAATGATGGTTTATGGATTTGTTTGAAATGTTAAATTTTTTCATGAATTTTATGGATGTTACAATTTATGTTGATAATCTAAACATTATTGGGATGAATAAAGAAAGCCTCGAAGTGATTGAACATTTGGAGAAAGAAATAGAAATGAAATACCTTGGAAAAACCAAATATTGTTTTGGTTTGCAAGTTGAGCATATTCCTAACAGAATACTTGCGCGTCAATCTAATTATACAGAAAGAAACTAGAAACGTTTAAATATAGACAATGTCAATGCTTTAAGCAAGCTAATGGTTGTTAGATCATTACATATTGACAAAGATCTATTTTGTCCTTACGAAGAAAATGAAGAAGTTCTAGGTCCAAAAGTACCATATCTTAAAGCAATTGGGCCTTTTATGTATCTTAGTAATTGTACTACACCTGACATTTCTTTCGATGTAAACCCTAAACCCAACAAAAAGACATTTGAATGAGAGTAAGCACATTTTTCGATACCTTCGAGGAACTATTGATTTAGGGTTATTTTATCTTAACAATTCAAAAAAAATGTTTGATTGGTTATGCAGATGCATGTTATTTTTCTGACCCTCATAAAGCTAGATGTCAAACTGGATACGTATTCATGAGTAGAGGGACTATAATTTAATTACAGGTGTTCTTAAAAGTAAACACTTGTTGCCACATACTCAACTCATGTTGAATTAATTGCACTAAATGAAGCTAATAGACAATGCACATGGTTAAGATCGATGACACAACTCATTTTAACTTCATGTGGACTTGAAAAAGATATAGGTCCAACTTTAATTTATGAAGATAACTCAACATGTGTCACTCAAATGAAAGAAGGATATATCAAGAGTGAGAAGACAAAACATTTACCTCAAAAGTTCTTTGAGTACACTCAAGAGCTTATAAAAGATGATCAAGTTGAAATAAAATATGTTCAATCCAACAATAATGCAACAAACTATTTTATAAAGGCACGCCCTACTGCAATCTTCAGGAAACATGTCCATTGCATCAAAATGCGACATGTGCATAGTATATAAAGTAATAGATGTCTAAATGAAGGGGGTGAACTATACATTACACACTTTGTCCCTTCGTTAAAGTTTTTTTCCACTGGGCTTTTCGTTATCAAGGTTTTTATTGAGGAAGTACTTCAAGTTGAACTCTAATCTGAAATATTGTCATCCAAGGGAGAGTGCTATAAATAATTGGTGGATGACACTATAATTGGTGCATGGTAAATTTGTTAACATTTGTTACTAGTTACAACTAATTGTAGATTATGAATAGTAATATGGGTAGTATAAATATCTCTCCATTGTAAATGATGAAATACACATTAAGTTACACTTTCATAAGTGATCTTTTAAGAACATCAATTTGTTTGAGAATGTAGGAACACTTTAAGACCATTGATGAGAATTAATCTAGAGAACGTGATTAAATCTAAATTTTATATGTAAATGGGCATTATAGTAAAATCTAATTTTAATTCAGCAGCTACATACATTAGTTAGTAGTTTCATTCTTTCCTTTAATTGGTGGAATTTCAATTTTGGTACAAATGGGAACTTTCAAGTCGATATTCTCCAGGATTTGATTGATGGCATTTTGTTTGGTGATTTGTTTCACTAATGTGATTTAAGTGTAATGGGATCACTTTGTGTGACCAAAAGTATCTTGATAAATATTAAACAATAAAGGAAGGTGTGGAGTGCACACTTGTTTAAATTTATTCAAGATTAAAAGTAAACTGTCATTTAGGGGCGAAACCCCTGAATGAACGGGGGTCCGGGGGCAGCGCCCCTGGGAACGGGGTCCAAGGGGCAGAGCCCCTGGCTGGGATCGAGGCGAAAATTTTTTATTTGGGTTATATTGTTGTATTGAAAATGCATCAGAAATCCAAATTTAGAATATTTGACCCGTTTTTGGCTTGGTATTAATCCTTATAGAAAACCCGGATTTATGACAATTTTTTGACTGTTGCCAAACTGTTTTATGACAGTTTTGACAGTTTTTACAGTTTTCAGACAATGGAGATATTTAACCAATTTTGGTCAGTTTTTTCTGGTACTCACGAAATTCATATCTCATTCTCTGTTCTTTTCTCTTCTGAGTCTTATCCAATCAAAGATTAGGGAGTACCACCCAATACTTTGATTTGATAGTGAAATCACAATTCTCAGAATTTCCAAGGCTATTATTATCCCATTTTCTAACACATTTTAACCTCACAATCATTTAGAACAATGGTTTGGATTAAGCTTGTTCCATAAAAAATCTTGGTGTTTGTTTGGAGAGCTTGCCTGGATCATATACCCACTATTGTGGCTCTTAGTGTTAGAGGCATGAACATTTCATCATTGACGTGTATCTTATGCAATGATGATACCAAGACAACTGATCACCTATTTGTAACTTTCCCTTTAATGATGGAAACAATTAGTTGGATCTTCAAATGGTGTAGAACTGATCATTAAAGGTTGTCAAAAGTTTTAGAGTTTATTAACTTCTCGCCTTGCTTTGGATACTGCCCAAAGAAAAGGAAATTGCTTCTTGCCATAATGTATGATGTTCTATGGTGTGGACGCGAGAAACAACAAGGCGTTCAACAATGTCATCTCTGCCCCTACAAAAACTGTGGATAATGTAATCACTTTCATATTTAAGTGGTAAAGTTCAAGGGTGAAGTTGGAAATTGTAATAGGACTAGTTAGTGTTGTCGCACTTTCATCTATATGTAAGCTAACTTTTTGTTTGTTTTGTATTCACCACCTTGCATCTTGCTTGGCTGTATTTTTAATAAAATCCGTCGGTTCCAAAAAAAAAAAAAAAAGTAATATTAAGGTTGCTTACATGATTACATCCCCATTAAGCGTCAACTTAGAGAGAAATTAATAATAATAAAATCCATTATTAAAAATATGCAGCAGTTATGGAAAACAAATTGTTTTAAAGCTACTTCCAATACAATATGTGTTTTTCTGTTTCCAAAACTTTTAGTAATTTATTAAGAAATGCTGGTTTCCTGATTTAGAATAAATAATTCATAAGTAGAACACCAAATTTGATTTCATCCTAAGCTATAATGAGGGTAAAACAAAAATCAGATGAACAGAAAACAAAAATTAAACAATAGCCTAATATTATTTAATGCTTGAATTAACCTTAAATCCATATCTATTCATATCGTTAGCAGTTGTTGCAAATAAAAAAACAATCCACTTGACACCTTTTCAATAAAGCCAAGACCAAAGACCACTTATAGGGAATAATTTATTTTTTATTTCATGTTCTTTTCGAATGTTGTTAGTTTAATACCACATGTCGTTAAATTCATACTTCTTGGGAATCTATGTTTATGAGCACATGCATGATGCATCCAATGTTTTTTTTTTTATCCTGCAATTGTTGTTCACATGTTTCTTCTTGTTTTTGTTGGATTGGAATCACAGGCAATTGTATAATAGGATAAGAGATTATTAGATTCTACGGTGGGGTAGTAGAGATGCCGGTGCTAACATGCCAACAGCGAAAACAAGCCGCCTATTCAAACACATGACTTTTGGATAAAACTATTTACCACTTGTTGTTGCTGATGGTAGAGCAAGCAAAGACATAATAACATTTGATGTTTGGCATGTGTCACTCCCGTGGCTTTTACCCCGCAAATTCAGGTTTTCTTAATGCACATAATACAAGAACAATTATCACCAATAAATTTCAGCCATGTCGTTAAGAATTTATTCCCAACCAAACCAATGAGCATTTACAACTCTTCAAGCATGTTATGTTTTTTAAATTAAATATATAGTTCTTTAATTTTAACTACTAGATGCGTTGCGGGGGTTGGAAGGTGTTGTTTTTGTGTAAATGTATAGTAGATTGTCTTAATTGGTAACCACAGTTAAGTATGGTGCTATTCTCTGCAATTCGCCCTTTTACAATTTTGATGCTTAAAATAATAAAAATAAAGGACATTGCCCTTTGCGGAAAATAGGATCCAAATTACATAAAGCTAAACATTAAAATGAAAATACATTGGCCTATTTTAGTATTTTTTTTTTTTTCTAAGATATGCAAAAAAACCCAGTAAACATCAGTCCAATGAAGCGCATTTTGATGAACCCGGTTAAACTCTTCATGTTTCGGTTCCACACGCATAAATGGGTCCGGAGGGCAAAGAGGTAATATATGGTTTAGCAAAAAAGTATTTCTACAAATAGCAACATAGCATACATAAGGGTTGTTCATTCTCTATCTAATCACAAATCCCACCTTATGTGATACCTGCTGGAAAGATGAAAAGGTAGAGGCTTAACTGGGCTGCAACCCATCAGAATCAAATCACTTCTGTCAAAAACCTACATTAACAATAGTCAGAAAATAATTATTTTAAAAGAAGTGTTGCCTTTAAAAATAAGATGAATTTGTTGACCTGAATTAGAATTTTCTGAATTTCTTTAAAATTGATTAAAAATTATTTGAAAAAGATCCCCACAAACACATCGAAAGATTTACACCCTTTGACATCATGGAAAATGCAGCCACTCATATTGTCCCAATTGATAAGTCTTTCACAGCATTCCTACAATAGCAGTTTCAAATTCATGTGGTTGCCTTGTTATTTTCCATCTTTTTTGCACTAAAAACTAATAAACCCAGCTGACAAATTTATGATTCATGCTTCTTATCAAAGTTTGTATACCTATGTATGAAAGGGTAAGAAATCTTAAAAGTAGTCCAATCTAAAATCCTCAAACCGTATGAATATATACCTGTAATCATTAAAAAAAAAAAAAGCTAAAGAGGCTGTTTCAATCAAAGTTACTTGGTTTACTTTTATGACAAAAAGCATGAAGAAAAAAAAAACAAAAAATCAATAATACATGAACAAACCATGAATATATTAGGTGGTCAACATCTCATCTGAGTAATTTGGAACATCTCACGTATTCACATAAATCCTATATTTCCTTTTGTTCTCAGAGTACTTAAAACCTGAATTTGTTCACAACTTTGTGGATCTTTATCTGAAAACTAAATTTTTGTTTTAAAGTTGTACAAAAATATATTTCTAGTCTCTATTGGTAGTGTTGTCGTTAAAGTCTCGGTTATCACATTAAGTTATTCCATTTCAAAAATGTTCTACAAGAAGCTATATATTTGAATGAAAAACTTACAGTATCTGCAATTCAGAAAACTGGCCTATGTTTTCTTATACATTTCAATGCACACAATTACAAACACGTAAAACACATCAAATCAATAAGGGCCATTTTAGTCATTCAATGGTCTCATTTCATGGTCTGGCCATTTTGAAAGAGTTTAATGAAAAAAGTTTATCAATATTCTAAAAGTATGTCCTGTATCCAGAGAAAGAAATTATTATTATTATTATTTTGAAGAAACGATAAATGTGAAGTGGAAATATGTTGTTTTGTAGCTCTTATATATAATAAGAATAATAATAACCGTGTAAAAGAGTCCTTGTGGTAAAAACAATCTTATTTCCTCATATCATGAACCTGATGCTTTGGTAAACACATTCTTCTTTCCTCTTGTCAAAATAAACAGGCAAAAAGAATATTTGAAACTTGAAAAAAAAAAAATTCTTTATTGTAAAATTTTATAATCAATCTTTTTAATTTTTATTTATTTCCATATATGAAATGAATAACACTAAGAAGGCAAATCCAAAAAAACTTTTATACCTCTATTAACTTTGTTTACCGTTTATCACCAATTTAGGATTTGGATTCTTCATCAGATTTCACAGGTGCAACTATTAATACACTTTTATTGTTTTTGAACATGAGCATCAACAGGAAGGAACATTTGCACAACTGGAGCTGTTGCAGAGTGCTTCAATTACAGTTGTATTCTTTTTGAGTCTAGAGATTCAGAAAGAAATAAGTTCAACATACCTGGGAGACATGATATTTAAGTCCGCTAGTTAAGGAGAATGTGATAAATCCTTTGGATTCTTCTACCGCTCCTGCATAATTTGAAGGAAAGTTATAAATTTCCAGAGACGTAATCAGAAATTTCATGAACTATAAGCCCTTAATAATGGCATGAATAACTTATTGTGAACCACTGTATCAAAGTGGTTGTTTTTTTTTAAATCGCAAGGCAAGCAAGACGGAACTAAAAATCCCTAAGAACCTTAATCACAGGAAAAATCTAGGGCAACACAGAACTGAATCGAATTGAATAACTAAATTAAAAAAAAAAAAAAACGAACCAATCATTAAGTGAAAAGATGAACTAACAGGAAGAGAAAGAGGATGTCCGTGTGCGTTAACATTTGTTGAGAGAGACGGTGGGAGAAGAAACCAGCCATATCCAAAATACGGAAGTGGATGAAAGAAGTAGAAGGCAGTGGAAGCAACCATACGTGATTGGGCGAGCTGTCGCACACCACACAGCAGGAGCAGCATCGAACCCCCAACCATCGCACCACCTTCTTCGACTGCCTCCGCCTTGGTATTATTTGGACGTAATATGTAAGAATTTATGGAAGCATGGACTAAATGGAAAATTCTGGACTTGAGTTGAAACGAATTTGTCATGGAGGGGCCATTTGGTAACAGTTGGATTTAAATTGAAAGGAAAAGGAGAATGAGGGGCTATTTCTGTCATTATGGGTTGAAGTTTGTAGGAGCTGGGTATATAACCCGTCGATCTCTCCGTAGCCCTAACCCTAGTCGGGTACTATAGCCGCCACCCTCACCTTACCTCCCTCCAGCCGCCACCACCCTTTCCCTTTCGTCCTCCGGCCGGCAGACAACCGACGAGCACCGCTACCCACCCCTGATGACACTAACCTTCTCCTTCTTCGTCCCTTCTTCCTGCTGTTCACTGTTGCCGCTACTGTTGCTGCTAGAGCTGTTGCCGCCATGTTACCCCCTTTTGTTGCCGCCACCAACCACCGTGGGAGGTGGCTGTGTGCGTGTTGCAATGTTTGTGCACGAGTGTTGTGACGGTTTAGAGCTGTAGAAGCGTTTCTTGGCCGGAGATCCGAAGAAAACCCCACCGCCACCACCATAAGGTGGTGGCTGCCACTCTGTACCGCCGCCTGCTCCCACAAGGTGGTTGTTCGTGTCTATTTTATTTGGTGTGTGTTATTTCTGTGATGTAAGCTTGGGTTTGTGTGGCTGGAAAACCAAGAAGGCCATCACCACCACCGTGAGGTGGTAGCTGCCGCCATCTACCACCGCCGGCCACCACAAGGGTGGTTGTGTGTGTATGTTAGTTTATGAGTGTGTGTTATTTGGATATTATTGTAAATTGTATTGTAATCGGTATAAGAATAATAAAAGGAAACTCTAAGCCACCACCAGCCGCCGTGTTGGGTGGCTAGTTTGCGTTTTGACTCGTTGGGGATGCTTGGACAGAATGGGTCTGACGAAACCCTAGTGGGCCCAATGAAACCCTAATGGGCCCAACAAAACCCTAATTGGCCCAATGAAGCCCTAATTGACCTAAAAGCCCAACCATGTGACTAATGGACTAGTATTGGGTAGGAAACCCTAATGGCATAGAACCCTAATTTTGGGGAATTATCGGGAGCCGCACTTAAATTAATTGTTAAACTGAAAATGTTAATTAATAATCATTTGCAAATTAACCTAAGGCAATATTGGACTTAATGGATTAAGTTTTTAATGGGGTAAATAGGAACACTTAACCCTAATCGTCATTTCATGTGAAAACCCTAATCTCACTTGGGCCTTGATTTGGGCCTTGGTGATTGGATTATTGATGGGCTATCCAAGAACAAGTAAATGGACCAAAATAATTGGATGATTTTTAAGGTAAGGCTCATGTATATATATATATATATATATATATATATATATATATATATATATATATATATATATATATATATATGAAGAAATTACACTATTTAATCCATTTTGCATCTCATAATCGGGGTTACTTTGTCGTTTTTGAGGTAGTTTCTTCTCCAAATTCATCCTCGCCTGCAACAACTGCTGAAAAAATGTTAGCTCTGTTACTTCCTCTGCATTTGTACAATTCTGCTTTGTCATCTAAAAATAACTTAGAATATGATATTAGGGTTGTGTATGGGTTTTTAGTGTGTGTTTTGTGCGTGTAAATGTAAAGAATATGGCAAAATCATACTAATAGCCTTATATGTATAAAAAGATGTGTAAGAATGTGATTTAATGTTTATATAATCTTATAAGAGAAGGTCTGTGCACAACAAGAAAATACTAGAGGGTTATTAAATAAAAGTATGAATAAATTATAATATGTGTATTATCTAGAAATGATCTAAGTGGAGTTGTGGTATGGGATGTATGTGTACAGAAAAGGAGCTCATTTTAGCTACTTTAGTGATTTTATTCTGTGTTTGATGTCTCAGGTGAGTTTCTCACTATACTATGTATTGCAATGTATATCCTTGCATGATAGGATGTAAAGAAATGGTAATATACTGGTTAGAGTACTGATAAGAAATGGTAATATGCATCCATGTATGATAGTCTGAGAATCTCTTTATCTAGGCTTTCTAGCCTGTTCCTTGTTTGGTTGTGGCTTTAGAGTAGGATCATATGTTCGACTGGCTATCCTACCTCTGCATACAAGTATGCATTCATTGGGTGATTTACCAATTTCATGGTGGAGTCCAGTATGAGTTCTATGTATGATGTAAATATGTTGTAGGGAGTTAGTAGACAGTTACATGTGTTGTTGGATTGTTTGTTTGTATCTTTGTTTTATATGTCGATGTATCTTGTGGCGAGTTGAGGGCGGTCCTGCTTTGTGCGATAGGCCAAAATACTCGGGCGGACCAGCTATATGCTAAAGGCCAGAGGCAGGCAATCTTTATGTTGTATGCGAGAGGGGCGGACCATACATGGACTGAAGGTCAATGTTTATATGCTTATATGTATATTGTAGTGTGTAGTATCTTAGGGAAATCACTAAGCTTTAGCTTACAGTTGTAGATTAAATGTTTCAGGTACTTCAGATGATTGTAGGAAGTCAAAGGCGTGACTGTACACACATATCAAGAGCTTTTCGTATTGTTTGGTTCCACGTCTATTATTTTTATGCTCTTTATTTTGGGATTATGTCGTTTAGAACAAATTATTGATGGTTTTAATTTATGAAAAATGTGTTTTATCTTAATTAAAAATATGAAAAATATTATTGTGAAAAATTAGAATGTTACAAATAGTGTCATCTAAGGGTTCCTCATTAGATGACTCTTGAATTATCTCAAGATCTATCGTACTTCCACTATTCTCTTTGGATATGAGCTCTCTCTCTATCTCTTTCTTTCTTTCTCTCTCTCTCTCTCTCTCTCTCTCTCTCTCTCTCTCTACCTCTCGAAAGACTCTTCTTCAAGCTTCAAAGACCACATTGTCAGTTGGTCTGTAGAACAAGTATCCAAACGATTTTTGTAGGTAACCAATGAAATACACCTCTTGGCCTTAGGCTCTAGGGTAAATTTTCTCTGTTGCACTTGAAGAGAACTACAGTAAATGTTCAAGAATTTCATGGTGTCTTTATGGTGTGAGTGTGATCAAAATACATTTCTCCTTCCAAAAGAAAAGCACAGATTCCTTTTTTAAATAGTTAAAAATAGAAAGAAAAGAATAATTGTTCGGAGTTATCTGTCAAATCACAAGTGTTAAGAGAAGCTAACTTGTATTCTTTTCTTCATCGACATCTTATGTACACAACATAGTAAAATCACAATCTAAAAACTACATTAGTACGTCACCCATTTGTGACTTGAACCCAATAGAAAAAAAGTGTTACATAAAAGTAATAATTTATAACCTCTATTGAAATGTTAGCCCTAAAGCAGCTATCAGAGCATAATATTCACCGAAATTTAGAAGAATACCTCTCACGTGAACATTTTACATTTTCATGAAAGATTTAGACAATAAAGTAGGTTCATACCTGATATATTTTTATTGAAAAAAAAAACAGAATTGTAAGAAAAACTACCATGACAATGATGAGAAATGTTGCAACAAGAAATCTTTTCATTCCAAATGGTGGAACGGAGTAAATGGTGCCCAGAAAAAGACCAAGACAATAAAGGGAAGTGATAAAAGAGCCCTAATTCATGGCAACAATAAGAACACCAACTACTGCAAATGATAATACCAAAAACCATGTTGATTAAATGAATCATAATGCATAAAATTGCTTCCAAAATCTAAATGTTGAAGCAAATAACAGTTGGCTGAAGTTGAAAATCACAATAGGAATCGATATTTTTAATTGTGTGGCAAAGTTCAAACATATCTAGTAATGACAACTATAAAAATTAATTATTGATCTAATCTTTTACCATTAAGAAATTGAAATTGAAAAAGAAACTACAAACCATAATTTTAGTATCATCAGAGACTATCCCTGAAGTCAAATTATGTAAGACACAATCAAAATTTGAGACTTACCGTTTTGAGATGATAAGCAACTTGAGTTGAAAAGCGATCCCAGAAACCTCGTCATCTCTAGACCTCTTCAGCCCTGTAGAGAGTAGAATTAAACATCAATCTATAAATCTAATCCATCTTACATCTCTACTTCTTTCTAGTGCTTTTTCTTAGTGATACAATCACATAAACCAGTCTTAAAGCTGTTCTAGATCATCTATCCCTATTTTGTTGCATCTATTTCTCAGCAAAAACAAAGAAATCAAAGAAGTGAAACAGTGAACCCTAAAAACCCAAATACAATAATCGGAAATAAAATACGTAAGCAAAGTTAATTGGAGAAGTGTACTGAATATATCTTTTTTATTTACGGTCGATGATTGCAATGATCACATCAACATGGCCACTCCGACCCACCACCTGATAGGTTTTAGGTAAAACAAATAAACTAGAAAACAATTCCTAAGTTCACATGCAACCTACTTTGGATCTATGTTTTAACTATTAAACATATAACTTTAAATTGAAAAACCAAGAACCCTAAAGGAAGAGGTTATTTTCGAAATACATTCGATTTATTAAACGTTTCACAATTAGTAAGCTGGATTTATTGTCATAACCTGCATTTTCCAACAAAATCGATCTAGTTAAACCATGATCATGAGAAAGTACATAAATATACTCCTGAAAGATATAATAAATTAGGGTTTCAGAATCACATACCTTTCAATTATTATAGCAAACAATTGGTAATCCTTGATCCTGATCTTCTTGGAAGCCTAACAACACAATTGTAATGCCTCTAATGGAATCACACCCAAGAACTAGCAAGAAGGAAATTATAGAGAGAGAAGAGGAGTATGCAATTTTCGGCCTAGGGTTTCTTCTAGAGAAGGAGCTCCGAATTTGAGAGCCAGATGGCTCCTTTTATAGTTGAGGCAACTAGGGTTTAAGGGATAACCCGAATGTTCCTTTGCTTAAGGCCCAAGCTAATCCATAGGCCTTATCTAAAGCCCTTGGAC